CGGTATATAGAGTAAGTTATACAAGTGAGATCCCTTTCATCTTGGTATTATATTAAATAATTTAAAATTTAGCAAAAAATTTATATCCACAAAAAAATGAGAGATATATTGATCCTGTATATTTTAATTGAGAAAATCATTTTCAAATACATTTTAATCTAAAAAATCAGAACATCTAAATTCTATAATACCTCAACGCCGCGCTGAATACACCAGAAACAAATAATCCCGGTAAACCTGGTATCGCCTCTGATAATTCCATCACAAAATATGGTAACAGCTGATCAGGCTTTCGTATTTGCTAAAATACAATTTTCATTAGTATATAACGCCGAAGCGTTTAATCTAAGATTTCGCATAAAATCATCTACGTTGATTATGTAAATTCCCGAGAAAGAGAGAGATAGAGAAAGAGAGAGTCAAAATTTTAATCCTACTTTCAGTCTCTTTCAACCTCAATTAAACCTTATATAAATTTATTTTGATACTTAAACAATCAAATAGTACACCTCTTTTAATATTACTTAATCTACAGCTTCTATTTAGAAAACTTCTTTTGAATCTAAAAATAGGAAATTCCATTTACAGGCTCAATATAAGGGCTCAATTCATTAGATTGGAAATTATTTTAAATCTATAGAGTCTATATACGTCCTAATTGTAAATCTCTAGAATCTATATATGTCCTAAAACTTCAATCCTGAAAGGTTCAAAGTAGGATCAAAATTTCGACTCGGGTTACTTCACATCGAGATTATTTTACCTTTGTCGTAACTGGGTCGCAGTCATAAAAAGCCGCGTAAATGACAATTCCTGTGTAGCAACATAACGAGACAATGCTGACTATGCCTACGGCCATTATTATAATCGCCCTAGAAAAGGAGATTAAATAAGTGACACATGCGCTGTCGTGCATTATGATGCATTTCTCGGACTCACACATTGGACTTCTTCAAGTTTGGCATCGCTAGGCATCGCTGCACCATCGCTTGGTTCACCGAGCACGTGGCCAGCCAATTCAAATAATTGCCAACCACCACGCCCCAGAAAGTGTGCCTTACCGTAGGATCCAGATTCATGCTGATTAAAGTAGGAAAAGGATGAAATAGATATTATTTATTGCTCGATAGAATAACTTCATAGATTGAGTATAAAAATATGAAATAAGTATTGCGTGAATTATAATAGAAACAATTATCTAAGGTATACGATAACGATAAATTAAATTAATTATAATAAAAATGTATGAAGAAATTGCTGCTAGTACTTGAAGAACTCAATCCTCCCGGAGTCGACATTTCTTTTCCACACCTCCGCTATGCCACCGGCTCTGACGGTGCCAAGTATAACAACAGTGATGACGGCACCGAACATCATCGCCGTCTGAATAGTGTCCGTCCAGACGACTGCCTTCAAGCCACCCTAAAGTGCAAAATCACGTATTTTATTATTACTGATTATCTTGAATTTTATTGTAAGTAATAATATACTATTCTATTTCTTTAACGCTTATTATGGACTAATGTAAGTATATTTTTATCTCACATTTAACGTTGAGGATAGAGGATAATTTTTATCGATTGCGTTACAAAATAAAATAAACATCTCTGCATGAAATCAACTCTCAGATCTACGAATTATATTCTTACCAAAGTCGTGTAAAAGATACACACGGCACAGACTAGTAATGCGATCGTATATAGATCCATTCCGGTCGCCTGATTGAAGGCTAGCGCCGGTACGTATATCACCATCGGTATGTAAAGCAGCTGCAAGCGCAAAATTGTTCAGCGTGTTAAATTGCTTGCAAGATCGGCGCGTATCGAGTTCAACACTTCGAGGAATCTTCGAGGAATATGTAAAGATATATTGCATGCCGAATATTGCATAATAAGAAAGATTTAGTAGTTATATACATATACATATATATATATATATGTATATACCAATTTTAAGAAGAGATTGGCAAGAACATTTATGTTCAAACAAGGAAATAAATTCTGGGCACAACTTATTTTATTAGTTTAAATTTATTTACATATATATAATAGAAATAAACTTACCATTTTGATGAGGAAGATAAAAGATCCCATGAGTCTGACCACTCGATTGAATCTTAACTCTAAATACTGTAAAAAAAGAATTGCTAGTTGTTAAAGTTCCTTGTTATACATAGAAAAAATGATTTTGTTAAAGTATTATGTCAAAATAATTTATGTAAGACGTTCAAACTTATTGTTAGAATGTTAAAACTTTTTTGCACCATTATGCTTGAACGTCCTACATAATTATTATATTTTAAAAGTCTAACAAAAAATTATTTTTCAGATCGATATGTAGCTAAATTTTAATTACTTTATTTTTTAGCTGCTTTACTTCAGCAAATTCATTCTTTCCATATAAAATTATTTACGTACCTCATAAGAAGACGTAATTCGGAGTCCGTAGAAAACCGGCAGATACACGGTCGCCATTGTGAGGGATACAAAACTATCCCCGATCACGGCACACCATAATTGCGTGCCGTAAACGTACATTTCGGCCGGCAATCCCAACATTGCTATGCCCGACACGTAGCTACAATTTTAAGGGGCTGTCCTTAGAATTACTCGTAATCATACAGCATTTAGACAATGCAAATTTAAACGTCACTAATTTTCAATTTATTTCTAGCAAATGGACAATCACTCAATTTAATGTTGTTAACAGCGAACATAATTTTGTGAATTAAAAGTAAATATGCAGGAGAGACAAAGAATAGTTTTGTCTCATTAAAAAATTGCATTTTGCGATTATCGATGATTATGAATGATTAAAGTGTTAATATAATGTACATATATAATTTAATTAAATATAATATACATATATAATTTTAATTTATATACATTATATGTTGTAAAATGAAAATTATGTATCTTAATTCATAAAAATGAAAATTATGTATCTTAATTCTAAAAATTCATAAAAATTAATTCACAATTTTACAATTTTAGTAAAGAACATGTTTAAATCAAAAGTAAAGCAATTTGCAAATAGCAGTTGCCGTCAATAAAACATTAATGGCTTCTGACTAATATAGGGTGCTCTTAAAACGAATTCTTATCCGGATTATTCTGACACGTGGGCTATTAATATTTAGAATCTGAACTAGCGAACCTTGACGGCCAATTGAAATGAATCTTATCTCATCATCTTATATGTCCTATATGTATATTTTCACACAGAACAGTTTTTCTATCAATATCTTAATGCTCTCATATTCATTAAGCTTATATAAAGTTAGATAGATTAAGACCAGACATACATTCAAAAAGAAAAAAACTATTAATTTTACTTAAAACAGTAATATTAATAAAAGATACATAAAATTTTTAATTAGAAACATTAACAAATAGCACAAGCATAATTATTGGTGTCGAACTTACCCATAGTAATAATAGTTTACCTTTCAAATTTAGAAGTTCGCCATTTTCATTTTATACATTTTTAAAATTGAAAATGTATAAAATCGGCTACGACAAAGATTAAATTTATTAATATATTTTTTTAAGAATTTGTTGGGTATTTTGTTTCAGATCAATATGAAATCTATGATGATTATTTGTATCACTATTAGTGCTAACAGTTGTGATGATACTATTTGTTAATATTTTTTATTAAAAATTTTATGTAACACTTAACTCGTTATATTCTTTAGAGGGGAATCTCACTCTAAAGAATAAAATTGAATCAATTCTTGGAAAAGAATGATTCAATTAATTTTTCTAAATAAGATTTCATTATTTAGAATGAAATTCACTCTGAAAGTTTTAAAAAGTATACTAATATATATGTAAGACATTGATCAAAATCCTTTGTGAGTAAAATTAATAGTTTCTGCAAAAAGAAATTATAAAAATAGAGGCATCTTTTTAATCTTTTTGGATGTATGAACCTCCTAAATAAAAATATTTTCATATATTTTTCTCAAAGCATTAAAAGATATTTTAAAGTTTAGATTATTAAAAGATATTTAAAGTCTCAGAGAACATATGTTTTTAATTACTTTTTCGATGCTACGCGGTACAAGATTTTAACTAAAACTTGAGAAAAAGAAATAAAAAAAGGACTAAATCTTTACCTTGCTATCAATGACATGCTTATCGGAAATATAGACATCTTTTGGCCGCCTACAAGGTATTCTCCCACGGCGTCCGCCTTTTTCCTGGACGCATAATACTGATAGACGCCTACGAGGGCAGAGACGCCCAGCAACCCGATGAATACGATCGAATCGACCAAATCAAATGTTCGCCGGTTATCCGACGTATCCATTGTACCGCAGGTTCCTTTCGTCGAGCAAAAATTGTTCTAACCAGATATTTTATAGTCGATAAATTTTGGATTTTGATATCACCATTACGATACTCTTTCGATATTCAGTATTCAGTAACTCAATATACTGAGTGCATTTGTAGAAATTTGCAAATTGGAAAATTAGTGGTATTTCCCGTCGCGTGCGAGTTCTCCAACATCCTACAGAAATCTGGCAAGTGGTGTTAGATCCACATTTAAGTTTGATATTTTTAAAATTATAAGAGAGAGAGAGAGAGAGAGAGAGAGAGAGAGACTGCGAAATTTTATATGAAAATCAATCTATTCACATGGATTAAATATTTAACTCTAAGGAGCACGTTAGAGATAGATGATATTTATTCTAAATCTGTTCACTTCATCATACATTTTATATAGTTACACAAATGTTCACGAAACTATCACGTTTTTATAAACTGTTTTAATAATTGCTGTAAAGTTAGAAAGTTCGACGTGCTCGTCAAATTCTTCAAAATCATATGGAAGCGAAAAATGAATTAGAAAAATCACAATCGATGAGACTGAAGTCAAACCCGATATTTTTACGAAAGCCGTCGTTTTGATCCCTTTGATCTCGCGCGATTACCGTGATTTCGAGATTGTGCGACGACGCGGCGACGAGATTACGGATATGCCGCTTCTTCTGCACGCTCTACGAAATGTCTGTGACGGTGAAAGAACGACGCGTCAAATACAGCTTCACGGGCCACGATTGAATAATTGCGGATTCTCCGCCGCTCCGTTGCTCCATATCGCCCTCGACTACCGCCTTCCGTAATGGTACTTATATGAGCATATGTAACAGCCGATGGACTTTTTGAAGATCACCTTCCGGTCTCACTTGTATTTTCGTCCGATTAATCCTTTCAATTCTCAACTTCTTTATTGATTGAAAGGAGAATAGAAAGAAATCTTTTAAATTCACGAATGTTTCAGACAAAATGGTTTTCATCTTTTATAGTAATATACTTTCTAAATTTTTTGGAGTAGAATCTCACACGTTAAAGAATAAATATCGAATTAGTCTTGAAAAAGACTCAATTTTTATTCTTTAAGAATGTAAAATTTATTCTAAAACTTTTAGAAAGTATGAGAATAATGTTTATTATTGATGCACATAGCTATAAATTCAAAGTATTTAATTAGATTATCTGTTAGAAGATTTTATATGATTATGTTAATCAGTTAAATGATATTTAGAAAACTATCTTTTACTACAAAGTATTTTGAAATAACGGAATAAAAGGATACAGTGGAAATGCTGGAAGCGAAATAATATTTCTGTATATATTCATCAGTATATCTAAATTTTTATTTATACAAAAAACAAAGTTGCTGTTGCTCAACATCAGAAACATTTTATCGTATTTCTTTGAGCTTATTAGAGCCAAATAAATGCTCACGAAGAATTGCAGCGTTACAAGTAAATATAGTAAAAAAAAGCGTTCACTCTCCATTATTTTTAAGAGCGATAAGGTAACAATAGTAAAATATCCGATATCCACTCAGGATACAATTATACTTCGGTATCGGTAACATGTGTGTATTTCGAGAAAATGTAGAATGGAATGTATATTGCGTCGATATTCCCATAATGACTTCCCATAATGACTGATATTCATGACGCACAAATACCTTACAAATACTTTACTACTATTATAGATAACATTACACAAAAATTATTATTATAAATTGTCTTTTTGACGATTGCTTAATATCGCAATAATCAAATCGCGCATTGAAATTTCTTTATATTTTATAGTGATGCAACGTAGTGGATGAATCAAATGATTATATTTAAACTGTCTGTCGATTCTTACACAACAATATACTTATATAACAATATCTTTCTAAAAAATCGGCACTTCTGATGTACATACGTAAAGTATATAACTCCAATATGAGTTTCGTGTAATATTTTAAATTGTAGTCATTATTTCTATAAAAACAAAAAATATTAATATTATTAAAAAATATATATATTTATAAAATATTTAATATATTATATAAATAAAATATATTTATTGCTCGTCGTTAATTTATTTATGATTAATTTGAGATTTATTGAGTTAATATATACTTTATATATGTACATATATACTTATAGAATATGCACGATATGTATATTGATATATATAAGAGACTTCGTCTCTTTATTGTATCCATATTACACAAATAAATTTCTGTATATCACAAAAATGTTTCAACATCGAAAAAATTCGTCGAAAAGGCACGCCATAATAATCTATTGTTTTAATTGTATTCATCTTACATTGCGTTGATAAAGGCACGCTTCAAGTCATACAGATATTTATATAAGAGTAAGTACGTAATCTAATCAATATGGAACACACTAATATAGGTTTAGAATAATTAATTCATACACACAATACATTCGTCTAAAGTAACGTCACAATATATTCTATATTATTATCACGCGAAAAAGATTCAATATTTTAAAGTTAAGATAATACCGAATTATAGTTTTGTGATACTTTCTGAAGCTGAAAAATCAGAAAGATTAGAAGTGATAAATTGATCGATTGTTTAAGTAATGTTACCATCATTATTCATAATACTGAATCTCTCAATTGTTAATACAAAAATTAAATTGATTTTTAAAATAAAACGTTAAATTATTAAAATTATGTACAATTCTCTTAAGTATTCTCTTAAGTACGTTAAAAGGAAAGTTGAAAAAAATCTTGCTTGTATCGAGCTGATCAAGCTGTCTAATTTTTCTGATTTTTTTCTGATTTTCGTTTACGTTTCTATGTCTATATATTTAAAGGCATTAGCAAAACAGATTAAATAAGAGTAAAATATTTGCTATATGTATATACAGTTAATTATCAACTTGAAAACTTAATGCTACAAGCTGCACCTGGGCAAAGTTAATATCTTCGTTTCTGGAAGACGCTGATCCACCCTCAAAGGGGATCATTTAAATAAAAATGAAATGAAAAGTGCGTTATAATGTGTCGTTAGTATTATTTGACTAATCGCTAAGAATAGTGAATCATGTATAAATGATTAAATCTAAGGTCAGTAGTTGTTGCAAGACGAAGATGAAGTATTCTACATTAATACATATATCCATGTAAATTCTTTCATTTGATTGTTGAAATAGTCATTTTTTAAATCTCTTAATCTTTGATTATGAAATTAATCGATAAGTATATGAAATATAATTAGAAATTTTATAAAAAATTATTTATTTAATTTTTTTCTCTGTAATAAATCTTTATTATTCTCTAGAAGAGATTCGGAAAAAATAAGTAAACTTGGAACTCCTTTTTAAATTAATTTCTATATTCATTTCTATATTCATTGGTTGATAAATTAAAATTTAATTTAAAATATAAATTAATTTAAAGCAAAATTTATTTAAAACGTTATTAATTATTAATGACAATTTACAAGTTTGAGCAATTTTCTACTCATTAAAATACTCATTAAAATTGAGCATTAACACTTTCTCCCAATCGATAAAAATAAAACATTCTTTGGGAAGTAAGTGATTATTGAGCACATCTGCTTTGAGCAAATTGTATTTGTATATGTAAACATTTTTTTTAATTTTTACAAGATTGGCTGTTATTTGAATTTACATTGCCGCGGAATTTCACAAGAATGCATTGTGTTTTAGCTCACCGCGGTTCGCAATAAAATCGTTATCGATTTCCCTTCGTTCTCGCGTGCAACGTCACTGACCTATGCAATGTGCGCGACCTTATACGCAACACGTTTGCTCGGAAGGCCTTTCATGGACGGAATGGCTGATAAGGATGCGATTTCTTAAAATATTTATTATGTATCTATTATTAAAATTCTAAATGGACACGCGCTGCAAATAATAATGCAATAGAAATTTATGCGCTCTCCAATCGTCAATCTTTAATTCGGACTATTGATATAATTTTAGCGATTGTAAACTAATCGTGAAAAAATATGAAAAAATTTCGTAAGAAATATTGAATTTTTTTATTAATCATTCATTAATTTCATTTGTAAATTGAATTAATTTTTTAGTCACAATAAATATCACAGTAAATATCAATGCATAAAATCTTTACCAATAGAAGATAACTATAAAACAAACTTAAAAGTTTATTTGAAGAACTAGCAAAAGAATAACTTTAGGGACACTCTTATCTAACAGACGAAGGTATTAGTACAGTAATTTCACGGAACCAAGTGTTTCACCAGCAGATTTAAGATCAAGAAGATAAAGTCGAGAAGATTGCACCGCGCGCGTCTACATCTCGCGAGCATGTCGCGTTAATAACTATTTAATTAAGTCACACAGCCGCATGGTTCGCGGAGGCGTGACACGCATTCACGAGTCACTCCAAAACTTACGTTACTATATTATAACTGTACAAATGATCTATTAAGACGACATTTATAGTCTCGATGTAAAAGCTATGTAAACGTTATTTTTCAAATACTTCTTCCATCAAAGTGTCGAAAATGAGCCATGCACCAACAGATCATTTCTCCAAGTCATCGAAAATATCAAGAAATCACATGTTTTATGACTTGGCGTTTAATGATTCAGGGATTATCAGGAATAAAAAATAATTATGTAGAAATATGATTACTCTCTATGACACTGTGGTCATTCATAGAACTATTGACTATGAATATCATTCTTAAAAACTGTTCAACGTACGTAAAATTGCGAGAGCATTTAAAAAAGACAAAATGATGCATTGAGTGATTTCTCATTGAGTAATCACTCATACATTCCAATATGTATTAACAATGTAGCTTGAAAAATTGTAAAAACGCGAAAAATCTTATATCTCGATGTGTTCATAGAACAAGACAGACAATAGCCACGTCACATTTTACGCCTATACGCTTCGCCACATCCTCTTTTTCATTTTCCTGTCCATTTAAACCAGAATTATCGAAGTTTCCGATAAAGAAATCTTTTCCTCAATATTCTGGGTAAATATATGTATATCTTGTTTACTTTTTCACAATTAAGCAATTATTGCCATAAAAGGTGTTCCTATTCGGACAAGTGGAACTTCAAAATGTATTTTTAGAACTAGTAAATATTTATCTGAATGTTTTTCTTTTTCAAGCTTAAGTACCTCAAGATTTATATTTTGTCGAGTAAAGTCGAGAATAATTCTGCGTACATATATTCTTATCTTAAATGCCCATAATCTTAAAACGAACTCTCGCGAGCCTTTGTCTTAAGTTGCGCGGAGTCTGG